AAAAAAAAACTAAGAAAAGGAAAAAGCTGATTTTTGTTGATTTCAGCAATGCTCCCCTTCTCCCTGCCCCAGAATTTTGAAAAAAGCAAGCTTTGTTTTTATTTCTTTGGGGTTTTTTCTCCTTCTAGATTACAGTTTAACCAGCTCTAAAACCTGCTCTGAATTTCAGGAAGACTGGGATAGAGTATTGTGCATTTTCTATATATTTAAAAGATTTTTAAAAATCCCTAGATCCAGTGTCGATCTTGATCTTAGAAAGAGCAGAAGCAGAGCTGACTAGCATTTTCATCTTTCCTTTCAAGCACTGTTTTTCTTTTCTTGCTGTGCTTTGAGGAATCTTGAGACTTGCTACGACTTGACCACCCTGCCTGTTGGCTTACCCGATGGTGGAGTTCAGAAATCCAGTGATCTCTGAGAACTGGGGCCAGTCAAGCTCATCGGTGAAAGCCATTGGGAGATTAGCAAATGATTTCTGAAAGAGAAATTTTTAAATCAACACGGTTTCACCCTCACAGACAAAAAAAATCCTTTCAGCAAATTTGAGCGCTTCCTAGCTGGAGCATTAGCCGGATGGCAGCAATTGTAACTATAGCTGTAGCGGTAATTATTTATGCATATACTTAAAAAGTTGACTTTTGTAAGAGGGGCATATCAAGAGACAGAGAAAGGAAAACAGAAGAGCAATCTGAACTGCATCTCCTGGTACCCTTTAATTCTGGAAGAGCCCAAAACTCCTCCTCAGGTGGAGCATGAACTGCAGGTGCAGACCACCAACGTGGCAGCTGTTTGCTGCAGCATCCATCCTGTCCAAAGATGGGTCTCCTTGGGCACCCGGAGAGAGGACAGCATAATGTTCCCAGCATATATGACAGAGGGATAATGTCAAACTCACTCGAAGCTCCCTTGTCCTCTCCAGCAGCCTGACCTGCAAGTATCTGACCCCTTAAAAATTCATGGTCCTCACTGCAAATTTCAGAGTTGTCACTGAAGCAAGAGTCAGAAAGGCCCCTAAGCATGGTGGGGACCAGGGAGAAAAATGCATGCTCTGCCACATAACCTTCCCATGCAAATAGATGCAACCTTTACCTCTCTCTGCTTTTGTTGGTATTAGTCCCTAACGCTTTTTTTTAAAGTGACTGCCTCTGCGAAAGCCTCTATGCAGATGCAAGCGGTGTTGCACATTCAAAACACAGTGCCCTGTTCATTTCCACTTTGATTTGTGAATATGTCAAAAATCGTGAAAGGCGAGAAAAGTGGCCTCGAGAAATTGTGCCACCTCAGAAGGACGAGACCATGGAGTAAATTTTCAGCTTTTCCTAGTCCGGGATATGCTCACAAAGACAAATGCATAAATCCAGTGTGCTCATACTGAAAAAACTGTTGATGAAAAAGGTAATAACCAAAAGAAGGTCAAAACATAAAATCAGAAGACTTACAGGCTGGTTTAATCCATGTAATTTATTAGCTTCATTTTCCTTTCAAGCAATTGTGGGGTTTCCTTAAACCCTCACTGCTATAAACAGCAAGCAGGCAACTAACTCTTTTTCCAGGAGGGTCAGGGGTAACTGAGGAGCCAGAGAAGAGCTAATTCTTGTAGTCCCCACCAAGTCCTCGCTCCCACAAAACTATTCTTTAGGTGAATGGGAGCTACGCTTGAGTATATGACTACAGGTTTTGTCTGTCACGGGATGGGGGAAGATGCAGGGAAAGTGGAGGAGAGGCGAGAAAAGGGGGATTGAGGCTGGGGGGGAGAAATCCTGAAGCCAAGCTCTGAGCAGCCTAATGCACAGCAGATGCCAGTTTAAAGCATGTAACAGCGTATTTGACCTACTTACAGTAGATCTGCATTAGTTACCAAGGTGAAAATGGGTCTGGCTTAATTATCTTTCAGCTGGTTCTCTCTCTCACATAAATATACACACGTATGTGTGTGTCCTTGTGTCTATCTGTATATACCTATACAGACATTTTTAATTTTTTTTTATTATTTTAAGACTGGAAGGAATTTCCAAAGCCTGCGTTCTTCAAACCTGATATTTTTGTGTGCAAACAGGCACTTAGTCCAAGGGCACAGCTACAAGCAGAAGTGGAGGGGTACAGTATGGCTTGGCCATTTGCAATATTTGCCTCGTTGTAGCTTTGCATTAAAGGTGACAGAAATATTGAAATAGTCACTTAACATGGAACAAATTATAGATATGATCTCTTATAAGTCACAGCATACAAGAGTATAAAAGGAGCCCAAAAGTGATTAAATATTTTAAAAACAAATCCTTCTATGACCAGTTCTCTCATTATTTCCCATTAGCACTCCAAGATAATATTTTCATTGGACAAATTCCAATAATTTTTAACTGGGTTTTTTTTCCCCTGCAAACTTAGCTTAAATATGAATTAGCCAGAACCTAATTGAGTTGCAAATTGATTTGGAAAGGAACATTTGAGCCCAGAATTATAGTTGCATTTGAAAACCATATATATGTTTAGCATTGACAATGTTCCAGCAAAGCACTTAAAGCCAGACTTTTGAAGATATTTCAGGACCAAAGGGTGAAGATGAGTAGCTGATGGAAATTTCAGGAGAATGCTAGACCTTGAACTCTGCAGGGATGTAGTATGGAAAGCATCGTCTAACAAGCTGCATTTCACTTAGTCTCAGATGCAAATGCGTCCCACTCTAGAGGTGGATCTATGTTGACTTTTAGCTTTAAACTGAGCACAGCCTTGTTTAAATACCATTTTCTAGACTACTCTGGCTGAGAAACCATGCTTCAGCCTACATGCCAGATTTTATCAGAGAATGATTAGTAAGTTATTCCAGCCAAGCTTCAAATGCCGTATTTTAGCCTCAAATGCTCTAGTGGGTCTCATTTCAAAGGAACATCCTCACCTCCTGGATGTGTCCTTCCTTGAAATACGTCTCCCCAAACCCTCCCGCTTGTCTTGCACTGGGCAGCCAAAGCCATGGCTGATGCTAAATGCACACACACCGAGCTGCACTGGACCAAGTTAGCTTAAATGGAACAGGATTGCTATGGCAGGAGATTTTCAAAATCAGGACATAAAAGGGCATTGGAAACCTAACACTCATATGAGCCTTTAGAAATGGCGGTTGCAGAAATCCTGAAAGCACTAAAGTATCCCTTCATTTGAAGGGGAATTGAATATTTGTTTTCATACTGATTTTAATGATGTTCAAATCCTTGTGACTGATTGCATTAAGTACCGCAGATGACTTTCTTATTCTAAGTATACAAATAAGCAAGCCTTAGAGCTCTTGAGGAAAGCACAGCCTATCTTTTTAAAAAGCATGTGTGGCTTTTCGACTGTGTAAAGCTGCAAGGCACATATAGGTTTGAAATTAGCCAAATTTTTACCTTATTTCCCCCAAAATGCAGCATCTTAGTCATCACAATACTAGCTGGGACAAACTTGATTGCAATTAAGTGGATTTAGAGGGAAGCTAGAGAATGTTTTTAATAAGTTTTTCACAAATCAAACTCCTGTTTTTTCTAGTGGTGCAAAAAAAGAAGTCAGTGAGATAAGTGTTTAGGACATCCTGAACCCACATTTGAAGAAATGCTGAATTCTTTTAATAGGAAATATATAGCATAGTACTTTACTGAAACCGGAGTACCCCTTGAGTTTGTGGACAAATAGATATCTACTGGATTACAGATAGACATGGGATTTATTTTTCTCTTTATTCAGCATGAAATAGAGAGCCAAGAGTTTTAAAATGCATCTTCCTAGAAAGGGTATCATTTCCAGCACATTTATAAATACAGTGCTTTTATCTCCAGATAAAATTGTCTCTAAGATGAGATTTAAAAGTAAGCTTCTATCCTAGACATATTACAGAAAAATGCTGCATTTAGTAGCTATTTGGAAGTCAATTGTAAGCAGATGGACAGAGCAGCAGGAGCACAATATCCATCGCTAGACACACCAGTGTTTTCAACATTAGCTTTCCACAAAAAATATCCACCTCAAAAAAACCCACAACTGCATTTCTTCTGCTTTGCTAAACTTCATCAAGTGCATGTCTACTGCATTACACTTCATTTTTAGTGTCTGAATTTTCAGGTCAAAGGAATGAACATCCAGCTCAATTCTTGTTGCACCTTTCAAAAGAAGAAAAGCCTGGCAAACCCAAAACCTATTGACAAGCAGCAAGGCAAAATAAAGTTGACTCATCCCCTTCTTACAGATGTATAATTCTCTTCCTGTAATTGCACTCTGGGTGTTTGGGGATTTACTGGAGCGATGGCAGGTTAAGGACAGAGCCATGTGCTTGGCTGCCTCTGCAGGAACAGGCAGGCAGGTATCCTCAGTGATGGCCCCAACATCATTCTCTCTGTGTTGCCGCATCTCAGCTAGATCCCTGTAGGGTAGACTTTGGGACTTAGGAGTACCAGGCTGGCCAAAAACTTCAAAATCAAGGTACCTGTGACTTCCCTTAGTGCTACATAGGTTGTTTGGGTTTTTTTGGTTTTTTGGGTTTGTTGGGTTTTTTTAAACTGGAGAAATAGCATGACCGAGCTATAGCTTTCAAAGATGCGTCCACTTTGCGATGGGCATTTTCCACACCGAGCAGTGTCTCTAATGCTCTTTGTGGGAAGAACACGCTCTAAGAGGGATGAGAACTGTATATGTCTCTGTGTTGCAGGTAAAGGCTTTGGAAATAGCACTTGAAAGCACGAGTCCCCACTCCAACGCAGTGCACGTCTCAAGCTCGGTGCTGGACAAAATGGGGAGGGAGTCCCTGCAGCTATGTCAATGCCAGCAGGCTGGCACTTAGGTGCTTCTAAGTCGTGTCGTC